AGATATTTTCCTCCAGGTGCTCTACGAGCCTTTTCCTTACGATCTTCTCCATCACCTTGCATGGTATACAAGTTAGGGAAACTGGCCTGTAGTTCAGTGCCTCTTTCCTGTCACCCTTCTTGTATATTGGGCCTACGTTAGCTGTCTTCCAACTTTCTGGTAAGTCTCCTGTTTCCAGTGACCTGTTATACACCATAGAGAGTGGTACATTTAGTGCTTCTGCACCTTCCTTTAGTATCCATGGTGAGATTCTGTCAGGCCCAACAACCTTTTTCACATCCAGCTCCAGCAGACACCTTTTGACCTCATCACTGGTGAGGTCAAATTCCTCCAAGGTTGCTTTGTTTGCCTCCTCATTTAGTGCAGGGGCTTCTCCTTGTTCTATTGTGAAGACCTCCTGGAATCTCTTGTTGAGTTCTTCACACACCTTGTCATTCTCTGTGTATCTGTTCTCCCCTTTTTGCAGTTTCATCACTTGTTCCTTCACTGCTGTTTTCCTCCTGATGTGGCTGTGGAGCAGCTTTGGTTGGGTCTTGGCTTTACTTGCTATGTCGTTTTCAAACTGTCTCTCTGCTTCCCTCCTCACTCTGAGGTATTCATTTCTGGCCCTCTGGTATCTCTCCCTGCTCTCCGGTGTTCTGTTATTTCTGTAATTTCCCCATGGCTTCGCTACCTTACATTCCTGATTGAACCATGGGTTTTTCGGTTGTTTTTCGTTTTTCTCCTTTTGGACGGGGATAAACCTGTCTGCAGCTTCCTGGCACTTCTGGGTGACAAAATCCATCATGTCCTGCACATTCTTGAATCTAAGTTCTGTTTCCCATGGTATTTCCCTGAGGAAGTTCCTCATCTCGTCATATTTTCCTCTTCAGTAATATAGTCTTTTTCCCTCCGATCCCATCCTTGGATAGGTTATCCCTACCTCCACCAAGTACTCAAAAGTCAGTACACTGTGGTCACTCATTCCTATGGGGGCTTCAACTTTGACTTCCCTTATTTCTGACTCATTCATGGTGAATATCAAGTCGAGTCTAGCTGGTTCATCATTGCCTCTCACTCTTGTGGGTTCCTTGACATGCTGGCTCAGAAAGTTTCTTGTTACCACTTCCAAGAGTTTAGCTCTCCATGTAACTTCTCCACCATGTGGGTCCCCATTCTCCCAGTCTATCTTTCCATGGTTGAAATCGCCCATGATTAACCCTTTAACTGCGCGGCCTATAAATATGACATCCCCCCAGTGTGCAGGAAATGAAACCTAGGGAAAAAATTATTTTTTCCTCGGAAAGTGTCAAAAACCCTCCCTCCCTGTATATGGGTATAGCAACGCAAGTTTGAAATTGTACTTACTTTGGCTGCTATGGGGTCCGAAAGGTGGGCCGTGACGTCATAATTCCCCGTGCGCCAGAGCAGTATGCACCCGGGGCCGGTGGGGCGCCCGGGGCGGGGCGTGCGAGTTGCCGCGAATATATTTTTGCACATTTTTTGCTCACAGTTCCAAATACATTTTATTTGTTTTTACATGCTAATCCTATGGATAATGAACTATCCCATTATAGCCTGTGGTCTATCCCTGTGCCCATGACGTTCGTAAGTTTGCTGCGTTGGCTTCCATCTTCGGTAACATGTCCCGAGCTGACATTCGGGCACAGGGTTTTTGGTGGTCGAACAGGGTCCTGGCTGCACTTTACCTCGTTAATGTTTCTGGGCCTTGTCGGGCTTGTGTCACTTTGGGTCGGCGGTTGTAGCCTGTTGACTCGACTTCGAGTTGAGGTGCGAGCATCGACTTCTCCTGAGTAAGTCCCTCTAGTTTTTGCCTCTGGGGATGTATCTCCCGAGAGCCGAAGGGGCTTTCCCCAGGAAACCAGCGTTGAATGTAATGAAACGCCTTTTCAGGGTGCCTCGAACTGGAGGGTGGTTCACCAGCGTGGTGGGTCTGGGCTCCCCCTTCCACCTCCGGGGAGGGGGGAAGCTGTGCAGACATCCAGCACAGCTCGTGTGACGTCATGCTCATTTGTTTGTTTTCATTTGGGAGTCTGTCCACTCGTTTGCCTATTTTCGTCGTTTTAACCAGAATGGGGGTTTGTTTTGAGGTGCTTACCTTTCTGGGTGCCTGGCCCGGTCGTTAGCAGACATAGAATGCTCCAAATCCCATGTGCATTTCTATAGACTCCTCGTTTCTATATTGCTCCTCGTGCCTCTCTTGAGGGGGGGCCAGGTTCTGGCTCATGGTCCCCGATAGGCCTAGAACTCCATTTACACTGACTGATGCCAAAGTCTAATGATATACATATTAGCTCTTGGGAGTCTTCGGGTCTCACCCAGAAATTGTCATTTCATTACATTCAATGCTAGTTTTCTGGGGGGGAGCCCCGACGGCTCCCCGGAGCTTTACCAGGCTGATATGCTAATGTCAGACTTTGGCATCAGTCATGTGTATGGAGTTCTAGGGCCTACCGGGGACCACGGCCGGAACATGGCCCCCTCAGAGAGGCAAGGGGAGCAATGGCCTATAGAAACCCTCGTGTGGTTGGAAGCATTTTATGTCTGCCATCGACCAGGTCAAGCATCCAGAAAGGTAAGCATTCCAAAACAAACCCCTATTCTGGTGAAAATTGCTACCTAAAGCCGAACTAGTGGATAGAACTCCCCAACAGAAAACAAGCAAACTAGTATGATGTCACACATCACCGCGCCGCTGTCTGCGCAGCTTCCCCCTTCCTGGGACGGGGAAGGGGGAGCCCCAGACCTCCCACTCAAGCTATCCACCCATCAGTTCTTCGGCTGATGCTATAGGCAACGGTTATGTGCTCCGGCTCCAGTGGTTGTTTCAGCACTGTACCTAGAGTGTGGTGTCTGTTTTCTAGGTGGTGTGTGAGCCGGGAGGTATTCTCCAGTACTCGGGCTGCATGCACCTAGGGTTCCCTTCCCTAGGTGCCCTGTAAGTACTGCCCTTGTGGCTTGGGGCCGCCTTCCACAAGTTCCTTGGGTCCTGCCCCTGCTTGGCCGTTTACTGTTTGGTTTTCGGCCGCTCTTTGTGTGCTCGGGTGTTCTGTCTCCCTTGTTTGACTTAGGGTAAGGGGCAGTTTTGCAATGGTGGGGTGCAGGGTACTGTGCAGCTTGTCTTTACCAATCATAGCGGCCGGCTCTGTTCCGCTTGGGTACATTTCCTCTTGCGGGGTTTTCTTTTTCTTTTTGTTTATCTACCTGGTGGGGGGGAGGGGTCTGCCTACGTTCCATCTCCTTGTGCCGCCTGGGTTTCGGTGGTCGCGCCCGAGATCTTCCCGCAGCTCCGCCTTTTCCTGGACTCGGAGGGTCCTTGTTGGGCTGCTTACATTCTGCCTCGCGGTCTCGCCTCCGGTTGGTGGTCGGGTGGCTTCGTGGTAGGTGTCCCACCTGCGTACTTCTGTTGGCGGCAGTATGGGGTATTTTGGCGGTCCTTCCTTTTCCTGTCCCTTCTTAGGTGGTTACTCTTGTTAGCGTCGGCTTGGTTTTCTGGTGGGGGTTGGGGGCCGTTGTCTTGCCACATACTATCGCCTCTTTTCGTGCGGCGCTGGCGCAGCCGCTTCGGCTTGCTTTCAGTCTTGGTGTTGCTTCTGCACTGTTAGTAAGCTGTCTCATGCGTCGTTTCACCTCCGGCCTGTTCGTGCGCCGCTTGCACCATCCTGGTCTCTGGTCGGCGTGCTCTGTCTTCTCCTCGGTTGGTAGTGCCCTTTCGGTTCCGGTTTGTTTTTTTGTTGACTCTCTTTCCTTTTGGCATTTGCCTCAGGGGGTCGGGTCGCTGAGTTTCTTGCTCCTTCGGTTTTAGTGTTTTGGTTGTTCGGGCAGCAGTCTCCATCTTTCTTGGCGCGGGGTGGGGCTGCTGCGTTCTGGAGGGGTCCAGGGTTTGTTGGTGCTTCGTTGGTCAGGCCGTGGGTGTGTTGTGTTTTGTGTTCAGTGGCAGCCCTCCACTGTTGTTTGCGTGCCACGGCGTCTGTGTCCGGAGCGCGTTTTGCGTTGATCCGGTTCTGTTCTGTTCTTTCTGTTCACAGGTGATGGTGTCCCAGGTTGTCAGCCGTGTTCTTGCGGCTAAGCTGCCTGTGTTCTTCTCTCATGCCCGTGGCGTTCGTGGCTTCGCTGCTCTCGCTGCCGTCTGGGTGACGTGTCCTTGCGGTCTTTCGGGCATGGTTCTTTGGTGTTCGTACGAGGGCCTTGCTGCTCGTTGTTCTCGTGTTGTTCCCGGGACTTTTCGGGGCTGTGGCGCCTTGGGTTGGCGTTTGCTGCCAGTTGTCTCGCCTCCTTGGGGGGGTGAGTGGTGACCGCCTCCCGGTTCCGTCCCTTTGACCTTCCTCTGTGGGTAGTTAGCTCTGGGGAGCCGACGGGGCTCCCCCCAGAAAACCAGCGTTGAATGTAATGAAACGCCATTTTCTGGGTGAGACCCGGAGGTTCCCCGGCAACCCTCCCTCCCTCCGGTCGGCGGTTTTTCACGTGTTTTGACATCCAGCCTCAGAACTGATGGGTGGATAGCCGGCATGGGAGGTCTGGGGCTCCCCCTTCCCCCTCCCGGGGAGCGGGGAGCTGCGCAGACTGCAGCGCGATGACGTGTGACGTCATACTAGTTTGCTTGTTTTCTGTTGAGTTCTATCCACTAGTTCGGCTTTAGGTAGCAATTTTCACCAGAATAGGGGTTTGTTTTGGAATGCTTACCTTTCTGGATGCTTGACCCGGTTGATGGCAGACATAGAATGCTTCCAACCACATGGGGGTTTCTATAGGCCATTGCTCCCCTTGCCTCTCTGAGGGGACCAGGTTCTGGCCGTGGTCCCCGGTAGGCCATAGAACTCCATACACATGACTGATGCCAAAGTCTGACATTAGCATATCAGCCTGGTAAAGCTCCGGGGAGCCTCCGGGTCTCACCCAGAAAATGGCGTTTCATTACATTCAACGTTGGTTTTTTAATTTAGTGCATTTATATCCAAATATTTAAATAAGATGATCAGTAATTTTTCTTATTCCAACAGGAGTGAAAGTCTTCGTTCGCTTCACCAGCTTCTAAGAGTACGTCAGTGTCCGTATTTCTATGTCTGTGGGCCTACGTTCACATGTTTATTCAGGGCAGCAGGAGTAGCAGGGATTTTACAAGCCCATGCCTTGATTACTCCAACAACCAGAGGCTTTCGCGATGCAATGAAGGAAGAAGGTCAGTGTTAATCTAAAATGTTTCTTAAGCATTATAAGCTTGTTTGAAATGAAATGCAGAATTTATGCAAGGATACAGTGGGTAGTAAAATGTTTGGAAACATGAAGAATAAGAATGAAAGAATATTAATTGTAATGATACCAGCATTGGATATTGTGAAATGCCAAATTCTGGGTGAACCCCAGTGGCTCCCTGAAGCTGTATGCTAAGATGGTTACCATCTACTGGGTCATGCCATTCATAGAGTTGTACAGGTCTACTAGGGACCAGTGCCAAAACCTGGCCCCCTTCACACAAGGGCAGGGGGCGGTGACATTTATTTTTGCCACCTCACCAGTCGAAGGTAACCAGAAAGTTGGTCAAAACAAACTACCCATGGATTCAAAAGAGACCAAAGCCTCAAAAACCGCCAAAAGAACTACCCCAACTATGTAAACAAATGATCGAAATTACTCAGAACTGGTGTGAGCTCATTCATCCCACCTCCCCAACTCATTTGGGGAAAGAAGGTAGCCCACTGCCAGCCGGCATCTACAAGCTCAGTTCTAGGGCAGATGTAGACATACACCTGATGACCTGGAAGGGAGGGAGAGAATCGGGAAGCCACCTGGGACCAATGGACAATACCTATGGAGAAGTAAGTAAAAATGAGAATCTACTAGGGAGGAGGGAGCTAGCAATCTCATCCTGATTGCTAGCACCGCAGCAATCAGGATGAGGACGAGACTCCCAGCCAAGTGACATGACCCCGGGAAAGACGAGCCTTGGAACAGTGGAACAAGGAAAGAGGATCAACCCACAAGGCATTCACCGAAGCAGATTTGGTGGCACGGAGATAGCGGTGGAGAGCCACTACCAGTCATAACACACAACGTACCACAGGCCGAACCAACCCAACATCAATGCCCAAAGGATCCCTCTGGAAGCCAACCTACTCTTTCTTCACCAGAAAAGGAGTAGCCAGCCAGCTGCAAATGAACATAATGCCCACCAGGACAAAAGGAATAAAATCCCCTCCATATCTTATCTTGAGGTTATGTTAAGATGATTTCGAGGGTTAGCGTCCCTGTGGCCCGGTCCTCGACCAGGCCTCCTTTGTGTTACACTCCCCCCCCCCCCCAACAGGAAGCAGCCCATAGCAGCTGCTAGATGAGAGAAACTGCCCATTTGTTTCCGCCTCCACCGGGGATTGAAGCCGGAACCTCAGGACTACGAATCCGAGGCGCTGTCCACTTAGCTGTCAGGGCCCCTTCTGTCCATATTGTGAACGATATGAAAGAAAATGCAAAATAGAACCAATGAAAAGTTGGAGTGCCGTAGGCACAATCAGAGAACACCGTATAAACAGCAGAGGTCTACGTTTGTTCAACATCCTCCTAGCGAGCATAAGAAATATTGCCGGAACAACCGTGGACATCTTCAGGAGAAAACTAGATAGTTTTCTTCAAGAAGTGCTGGACCAACTGGGCTGTGATGGATATATGGGCCTGCGGGCTGCTCCAAGCAACAGCCTGTTGGACCAAGCTCTCACAAGTCAAGCCTGGTGAGTAGAACTACTCCCAGAATCCCATCAAGCGCACTTATCAAGCAGGAGAGCATGAAGCTCCCCAGCCCGACAATTGGAGGCACGAGAAGCAAAAAAAAAACCTTAGAAAAGGAATCTCAGATCGAAGTGGTCACTGTGAAATGAGAAGAGGTAAGAAAAGCAATCACACAATCCAAAAACCAGGATGGCTCAGGTGGCACACGAGCAGGCTGGAGAAGAAAAAAAGCCTTAACATAGCTTACGAATAGCGCCAAGGTAGTATCGACACCGAACATGAGCTGTAGTGGCTTCACCAGTGCCGCATGATATTAGGTGACAGTATTCAGCATAAGATGCTGATCAAGAAAAAGCCAAACTAGAAAGGAGAGCACTACACTTTCAGACACCAAAGAATGACAAAGGGAATGGAAATGGCAAAAGAAGTGCCACGAAACCTCGTAGTGCTGCCGGGAAGAATAACGCAGTTGGAACACCATGAAAGAAGCCATTTGCTTGCCGTAATGATACTGATAAAGATGGGAACAAAATTCCAGATGTGAAGAGATGAGAAGGTCGAACCAATGAGGCACGTCACTGAGCTGATGTTTTAATAGAGGCTGAATGACTGCCTATTTGCTCCTGGGCTTTCTTGGGACTTGATTTCTTCTGCAACTACATGCCCAGGTCTCTTTATTGTCTGCGGCACTTGTGGCAGATGATCTTTTGACCCGTCTGCATTTGGGTTCCATCATGCATTTCCTGGGTCATCTGGAGCTTCAGTCTGACAGGCTTCAGGAGAATATTGAGGAGCTTGGTGGGGGTCCCCTTGCTGGGGGTAACCTCCTAACCACCTCTACTGTAGTGGCATCAGCAGCGATTTCCAAGCTCCTGAGCTACAGAATGGGGGGCCTACATTCTTCACTCATGATTTTTGTGTCGATGGGTTGTGTTGGCCCAATCTCTGGATTTGGCATGGGCTTTGGCTCTTCTGTCTGCCTCCATGTTTTCTCCTCTCCCTTTTCCCTGAGGATGTAGTGGCACAGTTTCTCTTGTTGGGAGTGGCCTTTTGACCAATATCATACCTTCTTTGTTCTTGAGGTTCACAGTTGTGTTCCTTGAGATGGTCGGGGTAGGATGCACATTTTGCACACAAAATGAGTGCAAAAAGAGTTACAGTGACACCTCGGCTTATGACTGCTCTTCTTTATGAATTATTTGGGTTACGAGCCAAATTTCTTCGTAAGATATGAATTGGGTTACGAGCCTTGCCTCGAGGTTTGTAGTTTGTTGATAACCGTATGGGCGACCTAGCATGTGGTTCCTGGTGTCACGATCGCCTGCACTTCAGTTTACCAGTGCCTCCCGCTTAGTGACAATCCCGCTTGAATTTTTTTTTAAAGAATTTCAGTATATTTCTGGTTTTCTGGGGGGAGGGGAGCCCCTCGAAGCTATCCGGGCTGATATGATTGTATTAGACCCTGGCATCAGTGAATGTGCATGGCATTCTAGACCTTCCAGGGATCACGAGTCAGAACCTGGCCCCCCCTCTAGAGAGGCACGAGGAGCAATGGCCTATAGAAACCCCTGTGTGGTTGGAAGCATTCTATGTCTGCCATCAACTAGGTCAGGCACCCAGAAAGGCAAGTGCCTCAAAACAATTCCCTATTCTGGTGAAAATATTGCTACTGAAGGGTTTTTAAAGCTACTATTGTTACTGAACTAGTGGACAGAACTCCCCAAACGAAAAAGAGCAAACGAGCATGACATCACCATGTCACCGTGCTGCTGTCTGCGCAACCTTTTTCGCCCCGGGAGGTGGAATGGGAAGCCCCAGACCCCCTTGCATTGGCTATCCACCCTGCAGTTCTGAGGCTTGATGTCAAAAACATAAGAAAAACCGCTGACCAGAGGGAGGAAGGGTTATCTTGAGATGATTTCGGGGCTTTAGTGTCCCCGCGGCCCGGTCCTCGACCAGGCCTCCACCCCCAGGAAGCAGCCCGTGACAGCTGACTAACACCCAGGTACCTGTTTTACTGCTAGGTAACAGGGGCATAGGGTGAAAGAAACTCTGCCCATTGTTTCTCGCCGGCGCCCGGGATTGAACCCGGGACCACAGGATCACAAGTCCAGCGTGCTGTCCGCTCGGCTCCCGGATAGCTGGGGAGCCTCTGGGTCTCGCCCAGAAAATGGCGCCTCATTACATTCAAGGCTGGTTTTCTGGGGGAAAGGCCTTTCGGTTCCATGGAGCTACTTACCCCAAAACAAAAACAAGAGGAACTTACCCGGAAGGCGGTCAGCCCTCGCTCCTCAATGCGAAGTCGAGACAACTGACTGCAATCGCCGATCCAATGAGATACAGGCTCGACTAGGCCCAGGAATGTTGATAAGGCAGCGAGCAGCCAGGACCCTGTTCAACCTCCAAAAACCCCGCGCCCGAATGTCAGCCCAAGATATGTTACTGAAGACGGCAGCCAGCACAGCAAACTAACGAACATCATGGGCACGAGGATAGACCGCAGGCTGGCTGGACCAAATAATGCTGTGGACGACCTGGAAGACCCGAATCTTGGAACAGGTAAGAAGGGAAACTGGTTCAACCCAACTCGCGTCCCTGGCCACCAAGGCCATGGCACGCGGGTAACGGTGCCATGGTGGAGAGCTGCAACCAGACGCAACACATGATGCACCCCCCTCGGCTTGACCAACCAAGCATCAACAACCTGAGAACCCCTCTGGAAAGCAGCAGTCTCATTCTTCGGCAGAAAAGGAGGAGACAGCTGCAAATGAACAAACCTACCACCAGGACCAAAAGAGCAGAAACCCCTGCTCCGGGGAGCTCCCGACCCAACCCCCAGTGGCCAATTCCAAAAAGAAAACAGCTTTCGCCAAACTATCCTGAACTGAAGGGGCCACCACAAACCAAGGAAAAGAGAGGAAAGAGAGCACCCGGACCAATGACCAGGACGGCTCAGGCGGCACATGAGCAGGCTGGAGGTAAACCAAGCATGAGACAGCTTTGGAACGGTGCAGGAGTAACATCAATGCCGAATACAAGCTGCAGCCGGCTCTGCCAGCACAAGAAATAATCGAAGGACCGCCAGGAAACTTCATACTGCCGTCAAGATGTAGCACGCAAGTGGGACACCATCAATGAAGCCACCTGCTCACCATTCACGTGGTGATAGACCACTTGTGAGAATTTTTAATATGGGTTACACTAATTCACAAGTTAAATTCGGTCAGAAAGGACTGCACAAGCCAACACATTAACCCTTAAACCGCGCATATCATATATATATGATATGATATATATATATATAATATCAGTGACAAAACCGGTACTGCGCACATCATTTATATATGCTTTCTTGTCTAGCGCTATAATTTAAACGCCCCGCCTGGGATAGGGGCAGCTATAGTACAGCCACGACCAATAGTTGCCAGATGCCACCTAGAAAAAAAAATCCAGGCCAAC